GGTTAAACTGGTTCTGCTGGCTGCCACAGACACCTGGCCTCTGCAGCCATTGGGTGGAAGGAGGCTGTTCAGGGTTCATGATAACATCAAGGCCTTGCCTAAATTGGCCATAAATATTAAAGGTGCATTGACTGAAATATGATCTGGACAGAATTGTGTAAAGTGAGTGATGCAGATGACCATTCAAGACACAGATGAAACATCTGGAGTTTGGGTGCCCTCGACCCTGAAATAGCCAGAGCCGGTTTCAATGTCTGATATGTGCATCAATATGCAGCTAAATTGCTGCGTTCTTCCACTTGAGACAATGAATAATCCCAGCCTGTGGGTCTGCTTGACCCTGAAATACATAGATGTAGTCAGCGGATTAAGCATTTGGTGTGTAATAACAATCCTTCCCAGGGGCACACTTGATCTGTATCTGCTGTCTGGTCAGTACTCCCCAACTGGACGATATCTGTTCATAGCACTTCTGAAGGGTAATAACTCCACTGAAGAGCTGTAATTCCTCCTTACATGGCCTTGACCTTTGGTCAGCAAGCCCTGCAGTCCCTTGCCCCAAGGCTGGCTGCTGTCTGATGAGGTAACTTAGTGAAACACTTATGATGTAATGATTCAGTCCACATCTGCTGGCTGTTAGGATCACAATGAGACAAGCAGACAGGCTAATGGATCTTTTCACTATTCATGTTTGGATACTGAGGGAAGGTGTGGATGAGAAATTTGCTTATGAAATGTTTAAATCAAGATGGTTGATGACAATTTGAAGTAGCTGTTGGCTTTAATTTGGAAGAATTGCTTTCAGGGATGATAATCAAACTGAGTTTACTTTGGAAACATGTCTGATATGGATACGTGCTTAGAAGGGCCTCTTTGGGAGGAAAAGGAATAAATGGAGAAAGTGTATTTGTTGTTAGTAGAAGGATTATAATTTTAGTGAATTAATGTGTGCTCTGTTTTCTGCACTTTTGTCCAGACTCAACTAACTGGTATGAACCTTGCTTAGGTAAATGTTGGATTGAAATGATGTTTGCTTATGGTGTTGTCAGTTGAAATAACAGCACATCACATAAGACTGGTTAAAGCTTTAGTCTTCTCCAGGTTGTAGTAATGTTGTTTCAGGAATAGTGTCACCCTCCAGAGGCAACCATTTTGAGAAAGGGTCAGCACCTGGCCTGTTTTCAACTTGTCAGAAATTCATTAATCACGTCATCTTGACACCATGAGAAATTGCCATGTCCAGCTAATGGAAGTTCATTACTGGAGACTTATGTAGAGCAATGCCTTGATTTATGAAGATTCTCTGTCCCTTTGAATTGAATTGTTACTGTTAGTGCATTTGCAATGTATAAATTGTATATACGATGGAGTTTACATTTTGGAGCAAAATTTATTACAAGTACAACACATGCATACACACATTGTCAGTTGTGTCATCTAATTAAGTGGAATATATAGGTCTGCTCATCTGGTATTGTGAAACTTGTATCATAAACTGCTGTCTGAAGTCAAATATGGTGTAGAACTGATTATTCCTCTAATCGATCTCAAATTGATCAAGCTCTGAGATGGAGATCTGTTCTGCATTTCTGTTGGATTAGGATGCTAAACCCATCTGCAACATCATGTGTCTTGCTATCCTTTGTGACCTGCAACATTTGAGAATAGTTCAGTTGAGAATAGCACAAAAATATTGTTCCTCCTAATAGGTGCTAATAGGTGAGTCTAGGAACTGTTCAGCGTAGTATCAGACTATTCCTGTCCAGAGAGAAGAGTCATTGCCTTCATGTTTTCCCGAAATACTTTCCAAAGATTAATGACTGTGGTTGTGTAAGCTCCCTGGTGTGTGATGCTCCCTTGATTTCCCCCAATGGCAGAATAATGACTGAACCATCTTGATTAAAGTTGCTATTTTGGCTGACTCAAAAATGTCAGTTCTGCAGCCAAACTGAAGAGTAAATCCATAGTGAAGCTTTGATCACGACTTCAGATCCAGCGCATATTATGTGCCCAGTGACGTCGGCATTGCTTCTGCTCCGATACTTCACCAAGGCAATGCAATTGATCACCAAACCTTTTGATGCATTCAGCACTGATACCACCCAGTGGACCTTGTGTTCAGTCTGCTGTTGATATCACAGCCCTTTATTAGATCCCCTATGGAGAAGAATTCCCATTATTCACACTGTGACCCTTGTGCTAAATCCCTTGTGTAAATCCTGGTCATCAGGGAGACCCCCATCACTTGCCCACCTTTATCCTACCCCAGGGGAAGGGGGGAGGGGCACAGACACCAGGATCACACCACCAGGATTGATTATGGCCCAGTAAAAAGGCTTCTGGTCCTGCTGCTATGAAAGTACACTTTAGTACATGGGGGTTTTTGGACAAGAGAAATGTCAAGACCATTGCTAGACCGGTTCTGGTGTGGAAACAGCTTGTTAAATGTCTAAAGATTTATCAGATAGGGTTTGAATGATGGACATCTAGTGAAGTTGTTGTTCAAACATTTAAGTGGTGAAAGCTTTGCCTGTTTATGTTACAGTTGTTAATGATTTTACGACCAGAAGATTTGGGTTAGAGGTACAGATATGACATTTATGGCATTAGATTCAATAGATTTTGTTAGGGATCATAAAGTCAAAGTGATGTTTATGCCTAATCTCTGAACATATATAACTTTGAAAGAAATAAGTAACATTGAGAAGGAATCTCCGTTTGATGAGAGTTTCAGAACCTGAATCTGTAAACTGTAAAAACTTGCTTCATTTGGAGCTATGCTATTCCAGTACTGGCCAAGCAGAAAGGGAAATAGTATGATTCTAGGAGGAACCAAATGTTATCAGCTTTGTGCATGTGTAAAATTATTTTTGAAGTTATTTCCAGAACAAATGACATTTTATAAAAACAATCCTAAGCTTCACTCTGGGTATTAAGAGTTCATACCTCATTATAATTTTCTCACAGCCTGTTTATGTTGTATCGGCCATCTATAGATAAGAAGGATCTATTAGTTTCTGTAAATATCAAGCAGTGCACAGACGTGTCACAAATCCATACATTGAATGTCTTGCAGTGGGTAGAAAGCAGTATTGATGAATTTTTTCAATACAGGATATATTGATGAAATCCCTAGGTTACATTTATTCAGTTCTCAAGTTCAAAGGTACTGCTGTCAGTGGAACCTGGTGCAAAGGTACTGAAGTGTATGGAACTGATTACCCCGGTTGTATGGTTGGTAGAACGTGTGATGGAGGTAGTACAGTGCAGACTAGAGTTTCCAGGTACATGTATTATGGTCTCTGTAGAGCTTATTCCGAGAGCTGGGTCTACAATCAAGCTCTGTCACACTGCAGGGTTTCAGATGCATCATTTTCTGTGACATTTTCAACCAAAATAGCCCTTGTCAGTGGAACTGATGACCTTGGTGTTATAGTAAGTGGAACTGATGACCCGAATACTTTAATCAGTTTATCTGATGACAGTGGTATTATAGTAAGTGGAACTGATGGCCCTGGTATTATAGTCAGTGGAAGTGATGGCCCTGGTATTATTATAGTCAGTGGAACTGATGACCCTTGTATTATAGTAAGTGGAACTGATGGCCCTTGTATTATAGTCAGTGGAACTGATGACCCTGGTATTATAGTAAGTGGAACTGATGGCCCTGCTATTATAGTCAGTGGAACTGATGACCCTGGTATTATAGTCAGTAGAACTGATGGCCCTGGTATTATAGTAAGTGGAACTGATGGCCCTGGTATTATAGTCAGTGGAACTGATGGCCCTGGTATTATAGTCAGTAGAACTGATGGCCCTGGTATTATAGTCAGTAGAACTGATGGCCCTGGTATTATAGTCAGTAGAACTGGTGACCCTGGTGTTATAGTAAGTGGAACTGATGGCCCTGGTATTATAGTAAGTGGAACTGATGGCCCTGGTATTATAGTAAGTGAAACTGATGACCCTGGTATTATAGTCAGTAGAACTGATGGCCCTGGTATTATAGTCAGTAGAACTGATGGCCCTGGTATTATAGTCAGTGGAACTGATGACCCTGGTATTATAGTCAGTAGAACTGATGGCCCTGGTATTATAGTCAGTAGAACGATGACCCTGGTATTATAGTCAGTAGAACTGATGGCCCTGGTATTATAGTCAGTAGAACGATGACCCTGCTATTATAGTCAGTAGAACTGATGACCCTGGTATTATAGTCAGTGGAACTGATGACCCTGGTACTTAAATCAGTAGAACGATGACCCTGGTATTATAGTCAGTGGAACTGATGACCCTGGTATTATAGTAAGAGAAATTGATGACCCTGGTGTTAAAATACCAGCAATATCAAGTCGGGAGAACTCTTGAATTTTAGCCACTGGGACTGCCCAGATTGCTGTTTCAGGTGCACACGTACAATTGTTGTTCAGCCTTTTCCATGATGCCGCGAGTAAACACAATATAACCTATTGTTAGACAGTTGCAGGGCCCAGCTTACACTTCCATCCCTTCAAATAATCAAGAAAGATGCCATTGTGTTCTGACTATTGTTGATTTTGCATGACTGCTTCTTACGCAATCCGAGTTTAATTGATGGTTTCCCCCTTTTTCATGAAAACATCATTACACATTGAAAGACCCACAGGCTGTGCTTTTGCATTGCTTTGATGTTAAAGATACTGACGATCGACCCATATATACATTTTCCAATCCAGTGTTTAACACAAGCCATTGTAATCATACTGATAATGAGAAAAAGTCATTTAGTGACAGATCATGGCACACCCATGAATAGCTGTACATAGAACTAGGATTTAATGTTGGTGTATGCAGAGTAACTGGAATAAGGCATATGAATATGCATAAGGGATATGCAATGACATAATGCAATGTCCCATATGGTGTACTAAAACATGTGCATGAAATTTTCATATTAACAGCATGCCTTCAATTTCCGCGTTGTTATGAACCAGCTTGAATAAATGTATTATGTTTTCCAGAACTGAAGATGAAACCCCACCTCCAAGCGACACAACTGCATTTGAAAAGCCAACTAGCGTATTTAATAATGATCAACAGTATCGAGGACGCCCAAGGGAGAGGATATTTGGGGTGGGCAAATACACCCATGGAAAACACACTGATAGGTGAACTTGTTTTCTGTCCATTCAGCATGCTTGTTTGTCCGTGTTTCTCACTGATGTATTCTGGGTCAATCCGTGTCGAACTTCATACACAATTTTAACAGTATGTTTTAACTGTTGGGCTGCAGAAGTGAATAATCTGCTCTTGGGTAACTGTTGTTGAAAAACTGTGTGTAGCTTTTTGTGTTGTTATTTTGAAAGAAATATGAAGTATTTATAATTGGCAGTTACTTTAAAGAAGAAATGAGGTTTTGTAACTGGCAGATGAATACCACAACCATACTGTTTTAGTACTGATGCATGCTGTGTCAATGTGCTGGGTCAGCACAAATTTCAAGCAGGGTTATGTACAAGTGGTACTTGCTAGTACTTGTGGCATACCCACTTGTGACGGACATTTTGAGTATGGAAAGACTTACACAACTAAATTCAGTGAATAGATGGAAAGGTACTTTTAGCCCTGCTCAGCGCTACCACAGTTCCATCGTTCATACAGGTGTCAGTGAGTGTGTGTGTTTGCTTGTTGTTTAATGCCGCCCTCAGCAATATTCAAACTATATGACAAAAGCTTGTAAATAATCAATCCTGTACAATACAATCAAGCTATAGTTCCAATGAGCTACCAAGTGATTGAGTCAGTTGTTCAACAAGCTGAGGTATCTGGGACCTATTCTTACCCGGAATCCCATGGGAGTGGGTTCATTGAGAATCTTGGTCAACATGGGAATCATTGAGGTGAAATACAAAGGCCTTTACTATTGAATACCTTTGCTATTTTATTAGGTATAAACACACTAAATATAATACAGTATACACATTTGTTCAACATGTAATCAATGTTAATTCCTTAATAAATGACACATGATCAAAGAGGCTAATGAACAGTTGGATGTGCAAGGAAGCTTAGAGATAAACATACTTTCATTTGAAAGTGATTTGGAGAGAAAGACTTTTTAGATTTTAGATTTTAGATTTTTAGTGAAGTGAAATTCAAAGGCAGTTAAACTAAACAGGCAATTTTATGAGGTAAACACCCACACTAGATATGATGAACATTTGTTTGACATACTTACTCAATGTTAAGTCCCGAATAATGACACATGATCATAGAGGCTAATGAACAGTTTTTCTGCACACGGTTGCTGTTTGATGTGCAAGGAAGCATTTTTGAAAGATGTTTGGAAATTAAGCTTCTGAAGAGATAAACTAGAGAACTGGCTCTGATCTTATGTGTAGAAATCTGATGTTAATGGAGGTCATGTTGCTGGAGCATGACAGAAAGTACAGGTGAATGAATACCCATCCCTTCAGCATCATGACAAATGTCATCTCTGTAAGACTGCTTTTGTGGGTTATCTTGGTGTCACTGGACTGATAGATCCAGAATGCAGGCAAATATACAAAAGACAAAGTCTATTTTCAGTAAAACTGCTTTTGTTGAATGGAGACCTTGTCGCTTGCAGTCAGTTTTCTGTGTCTGAAGTGGGTATCCATGTTAACTGCTACAGGGTTTCTCAGAGGCCGAGCACTAGGGATCATGATAAGTACATGACGTTTCACACATACACACGTGCATGTCTTGTGGCTTTGCAGTGAGTGAATGAGTTTAGTTTTACGCCTCTTAGCATTATTTCAGCAATATCACAGCTGGGAACACCAGGAATGGGCTTTACATATTGTGCCCATGTGGGGAATCGAACCTGCGTTTTTGGCATGATAGGTGAACGCTTTAACCACTAGGCTACCCCACTGCCCCCTGTGGCTTTGTAAGTGAAATAAATTTATATGTTCAAAAGATTTCTTCCAATGACCTATGATATTGAAATGATCTCATTACATAACGCTCTTCACTGCATTAATGAACAGGCAGGGCTTGCATGATAATGAATTCAAACATTTCCCCCAAACATGAACCAGTTTTACCAAGCCACCTTTTACCTTATCATTCACTTCTGATTCCTGGTGATTGAGCTATTTAACAGCGAACTGTATGACCAAAGTCCGTGGTATTTGAAATTTACAGACCACACTGCCATTTTGAAATTTCTCATCTCATCTAAATTTAAACAAGAAAGATGAACCCTCTTGGGAAATTACCACGGGGAGATACAGACTCTGGTTAATAAATCTTCACTAGTTTCATCCATTTTAATTTTTTTTTCATGACATGTAAAAAGCCTGAGTCACCACAGGTCGTGAGATGAGAATAATAGACAAGCTCACGTTGGCAGGCTCATTTTTGTTGTCATGTGACATATAATTTTATGATGCTATGTGTAAGTGGGATTGTTGATGTGTGGCTCTTTTCCTCACCACTGATTTTACAGTATCGTCTGTTAAGCTTTGTTGGCTGATGGTGTGACAAGGATAGTGTTCTTGTAGCTCATTAGTGATATGTTTTTGACATCACATGGCTGTTTTGCTCACTTACTGGCAGATGGTATTATCTGGCAATTTGTTAGAAACACTTGATGAGAACTCCGACCGGGGCTGCTTCAACTGTTAAAAGTCAGTTGCCAGGTCAGTATGATTTGACCCAGGTCATTAGCTATTTTTCAGTTTTCCTTCTTCTTTTGAACTATTGCTTAATCTTTATCAATCGTTACCATCCAGCAGTGTTTAATTTTGAGTGGTATTTGCTGTTTGTGATTATATGGTGTTATTGTGGTGCACTGCATGTGCCTTTGTCATAGATAATGGTGGAGTGTTCCGGAAACAGGTACTTGTGTTGTTATTATGTTTCCCTCATAGGCCGACATATCTCAGCTGTACCGTATGACTTGCATACTGTATCGATATTATATAAATGGCTGGTTTGTGTGACAGAATACAGTCGGTGGTCGATGTTTTAAGGACGTGTAATGCATGACATTTGCTGACCTAGATGTATTATCATCACATGAACTTATGCCCATTTAAAGAGGGGCATTCATGCCTCGTCTCACATGAGGTATTTGTCAGCTGAATCGCTGGCACTGTCACAACTTATATTCATACAGTATTGATGTTATTGCAAGGTGAACTTTCTCATGGAGGTGTAGAGGTAACTGTTTTTGTTTCTTCTCACTTGATCTGCTGTTTCTTTCGGTGGTAGAGATCTATGGTTGTAGTGTTAGTATATGACATTTGTCCCTCTGTTGATTAGGTTATTTTGCAGCAGTGAACTTTGGATAAGTGTTCCGATTTGCCCCAGGAACATATCTGGGCTTGTCAATCCCATCTTGCCAGTAGGGCTCTTATGGTGTTTGTGCTATGACAGTCATGAATAAGATAGCTTCGTAGATGTTTGTTACAAAGGTGTTTTGTCATGAAACTCTGTCAAATATTATTGTGCGCTTTTGATTTTGGTATAATCTCACCTGCTACTGTCACATGCTGAGTGTTACTGGTTGTCATAAATAGGATTGTGGAAATTAACTTGTTACTTAGCACAGCTTGTTGGAACCTAACTTTCATCATAGTTTTAGTGTGAAGCTTGCATGTTGTAATGCTACAAGGAAAGTTTCGTTTGTGATAGGAACTGAGTCTTCTTTCAAGTGGTCATGTGACTTGACTTGTGCTGGGGTTGCCAATTTCCATCAGATCAGAAATAAAGTTGGGCGGAATATATTTACTTGAATTTTTCAGTTTGGAGAAAGATTTTTACCCTTAATACGCAGCCACATCTCCGATTATTGTTACATACAAGCACATGACATGTATGGAACACTGCTTAAAGAGCCTAATCAGAGGGTTTTTTTCTAGTCTTGAATGGAAGGAGTGAGAGGCTTGCTAGACATGGCATATTGATTTCTGCTGCTGTCTAGATAGGTTGGTTATGTCTGAACTTACCATTTCCATAGTTGGACAAAGTGTGTATCTTCCTAATAGGGACTCGAAACACATTTTTTCCATATCGTTGGGATTTATGGAGTTTTTTGTGTAAGTTCCTTCTTTACCGTTTTGTGTTTGTGTCTTCTAGGACTGGAGCCTATCCCGGGAGGCCAGGAAGACCAATTGACGGGTATGGCCCGGAGAAAGAAGGGTATGACAGGACACGAGCAGTGTCTCCACCCCATCCCCCAGTTATTGCTCGCCCAGCAGAGCTGCCAGCACGTATAAAATCTGTTTCCATATCCCGGTCTCCTAGCCAGAGTCGGTCCCGCTCACCAAGGTCAAGGTCTCGATCAAGCAGTAGTGGAAGCTGGTCTTCTCACAGCAGCAGGTCAAGATCAAGGTCACGGAGGTAAGGATGATTAAGGTTTAGTTGATATTACAAGAACAAATTATGATATGCCCTATTGAGACTGTTGGAATGTCAGATTCAACAAAGTGGATAGTGGATACAGCACATTTTACTTCTTTGTACTTCATGAAGAAAACATTGACACAATTTGAGATGACATTGAAATGTGGAGATGTGTAAAGAGCTTGTCTTATTTTATTTCAGCCAGGGAAGCAGTCATGGCAGTCGGTTACAAGGGTCGGTCACAGCAGGGTCCAAGCTTCCATCTTTGGATGGCAAGGACTCGCAACATGATAAACAGAAGAGTGACGACCAGTCGAGTAACGCAGAACGGAAACCTCTTGGCATCTGTGTGACAGGGTTACCACTTCGCTCCAGTGGTATGTGATATTGCATTTCTTTAAGTACTTGTTTCAAAATGACAGAAGTTGCTTTCAAATTCATGTCATATCATCTGTATTCCTATGTCATTAGACTCGAGGTTGACATTTTTTAAAAACTGATGCTTATTCAGAGCTCCAGATAAGATTTAGGTCATGTGGGTACTGTACCCACTGTATTTTGTTGGAGCGGGTATTATGAATGTTGAGTGGGTATTTCATTGTCCGTTACCCACTGCTTTCAAATATGTGCGTATTTCAGTCATTTTACTCACCTAAGTATTATGTCATTGAGTAAGTTTACTAAGCAGGTATGTTCTCCCTTATGTCATACCTAATCAAAACCAACTTAAATATAATGGAAATGATTTCATAAAAACTCACTCATCCTATACTAACAGTACAACTTGATGGCAATCGATGTCTTTTTCATTACGCAAGCGATTTTTATAAATATATTCTGTACGCAATTGTTCAAAACTTTTTGTGTATCTAACATTTTAAATGCGTAATTGGTACGCAAAAATAATTTTTCAATCCGTAATTGGAAATTTTCTATGCGTATTTTACCCGGATACGCAGCTTATCTGGGCCTCTGCTTATTTTGCTTGGGGAGAAATCAACCAAATGGTCCCTTAGTATATCAGTTTGGATGGAATTGCTACTTTGTGTAAATTTTGCATCATGTTGTCAAATTAGATTTCTTGCTATGGAATTGCTACTTTGTGTAAATTTTGCATCATGCTTTCAAAGTAGATTTCTTGGCCCATTATCAGGTTTAGTCAAGTTTGCTTTCTCCTGTGAGGATGTCATTATGGTAATGGGGCGGTGGGGTAGCCCAGTGTTTGAAGCGTTTGCTCGTCACACCGACAACCTAGGTTCGATTCCCCACATGGGTACAACACATGAAGCCAAATTCTGGTGTCCCTTGCCATGATGCAGCAACCTATAAAACCATACTCACTCATTATGGTAATGTCAGTTTTAAGTAAGAGTTGTTTTCCCTTCCAGATACAAGTTTACGAGATGGGTTGTTCCATGAGTACAAGAAGCATGGCAAGGTGACATCAGTGCAGGTTGTGGGCGATGCAGGCGAGCGTTATGCTGTCGTCAGTTTCCGCAGGCCAGAGGATGCATCCAAAGCTCTAGAAGCATCTCAGGATAAGATGTTCTTTGGAACTCGCATCAAAGTTACCCAGCATGAGGGTGTAGGTTAGTATACAGACTTTCAGCTTGAAGCAATATCCAAGTATTTGATATGGTTTAGTTAATATGTAAGAGGGTATCCAGATGTAGATTTGCCTCTGGTCATGGTTGTTTTAAAATGCAACAAGACCGGCAGGAAGCACCTGAATTTGGTGAACCCTTGGAAGGGTGACCAAAAGGTGAAAATCATGACCCAAAGGGACCCTTGGATGGGTGACCCAGTGATGGCCCTGATCTGTATTGGGTGTCCGCCACATCCTGCCACCTGGTGTCCCATTGTCTGCTGGTCATGTGTCGCTGGATTACCTGGTATTTCTCACTGAAAAATGCCTCGATCCCTTGTACTTGGCTCTTTATGGCTGATGTGCAGGATCGATGGTTCATTAATTTAATACTGGTTCAGTGGGATGATCATTCAGTTAGAATAGCAATTTGCTTTCAAAACTGAGTATTATTTTGTCAAGATTATGTGCATGTATCTTGCTTTAAATGTATTTTTGACATTGTTTAATGTTAAGAGGGACAATCAGGGAAACCCAGTCGCACACCAAGCCTGGTATCTATTCCCTTTACAGTATGACAAGGCTGCAACATTGCTATAAAGCAGTAACAAGCCTGGGGCAATGGGGTAGCCTTGTGGTTAAAGTGTTTGCTCGTCATGCCAAATACCCAGGTTCGATTCCCCATTTATGTACAGTGTGTGAAGCCCATTTCTGGTGTCCCCGCCGTGATATTGCTGGAATATGTTTAAAAACGGCGTAAAACTAAACTCACTCATTCATTACCAAGCCTTAACTTCTCACCAATGTACTTGTATATTTCTATTCATATGTGACCAGTCCATTGGGATCCAAGAGCTTTCCTTTGTTCTCTGTAGCCTCTCAAACAAGTATGGACTGTCGTCTTTTTGCAGAAGTAGATGATACGGAATTCCGTCCTTCCGAGTCCGAGCTGGATGAGTACCATCCAAAAGCTACGCGGACATTATTTGTAGGAAATCTGGAAAAGGATACAACAGTATCGGATCTCATCGAGATATTCAAGGAATATGGAGAAGTTATAGTGAGTTTTACATAAGTTTGGATATTCAGAACCTTTTCGTTAAGCTTGTAGTGGAATAGGTATTTTGTGTCAAACCTCACAAGAATTAATATTATTCTTATTCGATATTTTCCTAGTCAGGTTATTGTTCATAGAGCTGTTTTAAATTACCAAGTTGTGTGTAGTATTCATCTTAGAAGCTTCTCCTCTTTGAGAATCAGGGAAGACAAATGTTCGCGATTGCCCATGATTTTCTGAAGGGACAACTAAAATGGGAATAGGGGGTTTCAGTGTGACCAGTCTTTGTTTTAATTCATACTTATTACACACATCGGGGCTGGGGACATATTCTGCCCCTTACGCTCCAGCAGAAAATTGTATTTTTCTATTCAGTCCAATTTCCGTTTGAAACGGTGAACTCAGACAATGACATATGTTACTATATGTTTTTCTTTTTGACCCAGGATGTGGATATCAAGCGTCAAGGCGCAGCCTCCGCTTACGCTTTTGTCCAGTATGCCGACATCGTCAGTGTTGTGAAGGCGCTACGACAGATGGAGGGAGAGCATATAGGAGCCAATAAGATAAAGGTACAGAATATGGTGAAATAGTGTTTCGGTTAATGTGAATATTTCAGAATGATGATACCAATTTCAGAATGATGATACCATTTTCAGATAATAATACGAATTTCAGATGATGATACCATTTTTGATGATGATACCATTTTTGATGATGATACTGAATTGGATGATGTTCATCATCGTGTTCATCATACGATGGCGCCTTCGAAGAATAGCAGCATTAAAAGAATTAATTGATAAAAAGGAACATTTCATGCTGTGGAAAGTTCCTTGTAGATCATTCACTTACATATCTTTTCATTTTGCACTCAACCAATTTTTGTATTCAGTACATCACCATGTACACATTTTTCAATCCAGGATTAGATTGATTTGAAGAGACACGATTTTATTGCAAATATGGGGATTGTATATTAGTTGATGATGTGCTTTGTTCAGAATAATTTTTTTATTAACCAGTGATTTTGAAGGTTTGTGCAGGGAGATGGCTGTATCACTTGATACAGTACTTACAGTGTTTTTCACACCACCTATTCCATTTTCAGCTTGGGTTCGGAAAAAGCATGCCAACCAACTGTGTATGGCTTGACAACGTAGGTGAGAATGTTGGTGACAAGTATCTCTGTCGTGTGTTCGGTCGCTATGGAGAAGTTAGTCACGATGTCATAGACAGAACTAAGGGAAGAGCTTTGATCTATTTCTCCAATCTTGATGATGCCCAGTACGCTGTCAATGAAATGAGGAATAGGAGTTTAGGGGGCAAGAAAATACAGGTGAGATCATTAATTAGCCTTTTGAAATCTCCTTTTTGTTGTTTTGCAGATGAAAAATAACATGAAAACAGAATGCCAAAAACTTTTATGGATGTTCAGTGATAATTGCGTTTAAGATATCCTACTTTAAGTTTTGAATGAATGTTTGAAGTTTCTGTGCTGTAATTTTACATGAATTAGCTTGTTGGAAATCCAGTCCAATTTGAAATCTTGTACTTTTCAGATTGACTTTGCTAGCCGTGAGTGTCAAAACAAATTCTTTGACAAGATGGAGAAGACTGGGCAGCTTCGTCCTGGAGAGTGGCCAGACGAACGAGGGGGAACTCGATTCAGAAGAAATTTTGAATTCCCTGAAACTTTCCAAGAAGAGTAAGTTGATACCTGGATTTTACTTCTTGTCTAATGTTAGAATAGTTTGTTAGTTATGATAACTCTGTTGTGAATGTTGAAAGGTCCACAGAGAGTGGCTATTGCATGCACAGCATTGTTTATAAGTCTTTGGTTGGTCAAGAACACTGACAACAAACCATGTCAAGATCTCTTCTAATGTGGTGTCGTTAATATATGTAATATCTAGTCAAAAACGTTTCAGGAAAAATGCTACGTGTTTCTAAATATCGTGATTTTATCTCCAGGCAAACTCGAACTTTCACCCCCACCACACAGTTCAAGAAAGGCTTTTTCCGGGGAGCCAGGAACAGCAGAGGCAGTACGTCCACCTACAGAGACAGAGGAAGAGGCTCCACAGAGGGTTTCCAGGAAGAGTTTGCATCTCGAAGGCAGAGGTGTGTGACTAAAAGTGGCCATGTATTCATCCTCCATTGTATATATGTGAGAGATTAGGTGCCCTGTACCCCATTTATATCTACGTTGCCTACATATTGAGTTTCCTAACAGCCCGTTTGCTGAAATTTCGATTCAAGTTTCAGGTCAATACTTCCATACCTTTTTTGCGGCTAACTCCCCTACCCTACCCTTAAACCCCCCCCCCTTTATTTTTGTTTGTTTTTTTGTTGTCAATGAAAACAGCATATGTAATAATACTAATTACAATGATGTCAGGAGGTGCAAACAAATGGAGACATCTGCTTTGATACTTGTACACTTATAAAGAAATATATCCCCATTATTCTTCCGTTTCTAATGTGGTTTCCCTGTTTCAGGTCAACCGATGGGTTTTCCCAAAGCAGTGGTGAATACTTCAAGGCAGAAGATTCCTATGAACAAGAACTCAGGGAATATGGCCACAGCCAGAGACAGAGAGAACGGGGCCACAGTAGCCCGAGACGAACAGATGAACGTTATGAAGAGAGACCGTCACGGCGGTCATCTCGGGACTTATCACTGGACTCTTATGATGATAGGAGTAAGGATAGATTGGACCTTTATGGGCGGAGTGATAGCCCAGGCAGTGATCGGAACTCTTACCGCTCAGAAAGTCGGTACCGGAGTAGGTCCGACGATAAAAGTTATTCCAGAGATCGGTTTGATCTCGAAAAACACAGAGACTTTGATCTTCACAGTGACCAAAGTAGGAGTCAGTCTCCAGTATCATTCCACAGTCCCACCAGAAGTCCGACGCGGAGAAAAGATGATGAACTTTCAAATCGGTCGTATACTCCTCCTACACCAACTGAGGAAGAACCACCTATGTACCGATATTATCCTGATGACTATTCACGGAAATCCCGTTTAGAACGGAGTAATTCAATTCATCGGCATGTGTCTATGGATGATTCTGTGTCTACTAAAAGTCAACCATGGAGTGTTGTGTCAGTGACTACAGGGAAACCTCAATCCGAAATTGTGAAACCGCCCGAGAAAATGTCTTCTCGGAAACGTTCTTATGAGGAAGCCATGCTTAGCAAAGACCTCGCCAAAAATTCCAAGAAATTGGAACGAAGTGAAAGTCATAGTGCGACTTTAAAATCAACAGCCTCAAAAATCAGTGTGACGAAAGCTTTCCTAGCGGAAAAGATGAGACTTGAAAAAGGTGAAAAGACACGTTTAATACCAAAAGCATTCATTGAAGCACAGATTCATGGGAGTCCTGGTTCAACCAACAGCCACCCAGAATCAGAAAATGGTTCCTTAGGTGAATCTGACTTATTAGAACTGCATAGTAAAAAGGCTTTACTACTGCAGAAGATTCAGCAGTTAGAGGACACCTCTGATGCTGATCCTAACCTCAGTGAGGATGTGCGTAATGTTGTGGCAAGAAGATTCGATGGAACTAAAGGACAGCTAATTAAGAGTCTTCAGAGTGGTAAGCTAGAGGAAAAGAAACTTGAACTTGCTGAAGAAATTAAGAAAATTGACAGCACTAAAAGTTACCGCAAACAGATGGAGAAATTACGGATACTTGAGACAAAAGTGACTGCTGATGATATTGCACGAAGGAAAAAGTCACCTTCGTCAGCCCTTCCTGTGATAGTGACTAAGTTGGATGAGAGTGAAGGTGAGGACCACCAAGCTGAATCTCCAACAGACACTGGGTCAAGTTTCCGGCAACAGGCTAAACGCCGGAAATTTGATGTGAAAGATGGTGATATAAATTCAAAAGTGCGTACATATCGACGGAACGATAAATATATCAGTAGTGATGATGAAATGACTGAGAAAGGTTTGAAAAAGAAGGATTTAAGTATAGATTCTTATAGTAAGAATGTGAAATTACATGACGGACTAACGAAATTGGATGTTGGTTATTCAGGGTATTTCCCTTTGTCCAAATCTCCCCGACATGACATTCATACTCCTCTGGAGCCAGTGGAGAGACATGAAAAGAAGTCTCTCAGTCTGCCCATTATTATAAAAGAGGAGTCGGATACCACTTTAGAAGATCCTCGGATTAAGAGACATCAACATTCTTATGATGACAGGATATCATCATCTGCTATCGGCAAGGAGATCTCTCCTCATGTTGTGCCTGCTGATAGTTCTACGAACTCGCCAAAAGAAGAGCAGTTGACTTTTGTGATTCGTAATAGTCCGGAGTACCAGAAAAGCCCCAAGGCTTTTGAGGATATATCTGTGAGTCACCATGCTGATGATGTGTCTGAACTTAGCCCCAAGGATATTAATCTTTCAACAAAAGCCTGGACTAGACCATTACTGTATGAAATGCCCGAGACTACTGCTAAGGAATCTACCCAGGAGAAGGGGCTGTCCGAAGTGGAAGGTGTTGTGGACTCTACATCTGTGATGTTATCAGCAAAGGAGGAAACAAGTCCCTCCTCTGCTGCTATTGAAACAGCTATTGAAATAGATGATTCTTTCTCGGATAGTAGTTCAGAAGAACCCAAGACTCCTGGAGAGTTAAGTCTTGAGGAGAGGATACGAATCCTGGATGAGAAGATGAGCATGCCAGTAATGAACAAACCTCTGGAAGCATCACTTCTCACTCCTAGTACATCCACCTCCTCGCTGACCTCACCCCTGACTGGACTATATTCAAAGTTCAGGATTAGAAAGAAGCAGGATGCTACCCCGGGCCTTGGTTTCAGCCAAGGTTCAGAGGATAAGAAGCCTGAACCCTCAGACATTGTGAAACAGTTGATGTCCAGACGGAGTAAAAGTATTCTTGATCAAGATTCTAAACGTCTTGAGCAGATTAACAAGAAATATGAACCACCAGATGTGAAAGTGCCACTTGTTAATTCCCCACCCAAAACATATATTCCGGTCCCAACAAAAGCTGCTGTGAAACAGATGCCAGTAACATCAATGAGTGCTCTTCAAGGAATAATGGGTCCCTTTAGTTTTGATGGTTCAAGTAGTTCATTCCAATCCCCTTCCTCTATATCCCATTCACTTCATCAGCAGGTAGTGCATGCTCCTCCATTGCAGCAGTTCCCAGCATCAATGCCGCCAGCACCGCATCCTCAAACACCAGCACAGTTAAAGGAATCTACTTCTAGTCACAATTCTACACCATCTTTCACAGTACCATCATTACCAGTGCAGCCACCTCATCAGCAACAGCAGCAGCAGCAGCAGATAGTATCTACCTCAACAGTTCATCCTCATCTTTCTCCCTCAGCTGTTAGTACCCAACAGTTGTCACCATCAATCAATACCCAAATGTCTGCATCATCTCAAACATTCACCTCCTCTCATTCAGGGTTCATGTCTGGGTTCCAGTCACCCAAACATCCGAGTGTTTTTCCTGTAGAAACTCCAAAGCAGCAACAAAAGCAAATCTCTACTAGTGCTTCTTCTGTCGCTAGTAACATTGTAGGGGAATCTCAGCAACAGTCAAGTCAACCTTTAGTTGTTGTCAGTACTCCAAACAGTGTTAGCGAACCTGTCTCAAGCTCAACTGGAACTATATCAGTATCTCCAACAGCAACATCCATCCCAACAGCAAATAAAGAAACACATCACCTGGCTGCTCCAGTGCAGAAAAGGCGACCTTCTGATACAATACAAACACCTGTTATGTCCTCCAACCATCACACAGAACCCATGGACACCCAGTCATCCTCACCTTCCAGAACTCCCACCACATCCAGATTGGACTCGACGTCATCATCCACCAGTAGCCAGTCCATAACTAGTCCTGTTGTACTTCCTCAGGAAACTAAGAAGGAAGCTCCAAGTGTTGCTAAGCTCAATCCCGATCAACACTCAACTCCGCTGAAGAAAGAAACTTCACAGCCAAAGGAAGAAAAAGAGACCAGACATTCACTCCCACCTGTTTTGATGCGTTCAAAGTCAAGTGATGAGAGGTCATCAAAGTCCACAAAACTGTCATCCCAAAGCAAATCTTTTGAGATGACAGAAAAGAAACCTGAAACATCCAGTGATAAGAAGAAAGAGAATGTTCACAAGAGTCATGACAGTCACTCCCAACATTCTAGCCACAAAGAGAAATCTGATTCAAAGAAAGATGGTGAAGACAAACACCACCACAAGGCATCTTCATCAGATAAAAAGGTTTCCAAGTCACACAGTCAGGAGAAAGAACACAGGGAAGAAAAGAAGCATGAATCCTCATCTCACAAGGACAAGATACGACATGACTCTGGTGCCAAGGTCAAAAGTCATAAAGAAGCTGACAATGCAAATCGGGAGAAGACCAAAACCAAACATAAAGAGAGTGAGAACAAGAAAGACAGCAAAGACCACTCTTCTGAGAAATTCAAATCAAAAGACAAAGGACATGAGGACAAGAAGCATGACAAGGACAAGAGAGCTGAAGAAAAGAAAGCTGAAGAAAAGAAGGCCGAAGAAAAGAAGGCTGAAGAAAAGAAATGTGAGGAAAAGAAGGAAGAGAAAAAATCAGACGAGAGGAGAGCAGAAGAAAAGAAGGATGACAAGAAGATGGAAGAGAAAAATGAAGGAAAGAAGACTGAGGAGAGGAAACCAGAGAAGAAAGATAAAGTAAAGAGCAAGGAAACAAAACCTGACAAAGTTAAAAGCTCTTCTTCTCAAAGTGAAAATAAGTCTGACAAGTCAGCATCCAAATCTCAAGATAAAGGGAACAAGGATCACAAAGAGTCCAAGAAGTCCTCCTCCTCCTCTTCCTCTTCAACCAAAGACAAGGTGCCTAAAGACTCTAAAGATCAGAAGGACCAGAAGAAGAAAGTCAAAGAAGGGGATAAGGCAGAAAAGACGTCAAAGACTTCATCGAAAAGTGATAAAAAGACAGAAGGAAGCAGAGACAGATCAGAATCTAGGAGTACAAAAGAGAAATCTGAGAAGAAAGAAGAAAAAAAGGAAGAGAAAAAGGAAGATAGGAAAGAGAGGGAGAGGAAGGCAGCGGAGAAGAAAGCAGCAGCCATAGCGGAGAGGAAGATGCTAGCTGAGTTTCTTGTCGATGACTTTGAACCATATGTGTCAATGTATGATAAAGTCAAGAGACGGTCTATTGAGAAAAGTAAGGAAAATGAAACCGAAGATGTTCGAAAATACTTTGACCGGTTTCAGAAAAGTCGGAAGAAGAAATCCAAGTCCAACAGAGGTGATGACAGTGATTGCAGTTCCTTCAACTCTGATGATGAGAGTGGAATGTCGGGTACACAAAACTCAGAGGAAGAAGAACCTGAACCTCCTAAAGAGAAAGTGCGGAAGAAAAAGACTCAGGTTATTGAGAGTTCTTCCTCTGATGAACTTGAGGAATATATTAAACAGAAACGGAAGAAGAAATCTAAGACAATCATGCAGAAAAAGGCAAGAAAGTTTTTGGAATCATCTTCCGATTCAGATGATGATATGGATATTCTAAACGATGATGAGCCAATCATTAAGCCTGAAAGCAAGAAGCCAACTAAGAAAAGGAAGTCAAGGGAGAATTGGAGTGATGATGATAATGATGACTTTGAAGAAGTCAAAGTTGAGAAGAGGCTAGAGGACAGATCGTTTGTTGATGCTTTCCCATCTGAAATGAGCATTACTGAACCAGAGACAATGGATGAAGGAGAAAAGAAAAATGTAGACCTGGGGAAAAATGACAAGTCCAAAAGGCCGAAGAAGAAGAAGCCGAAGGACAAGGAACCATGTTCTGCATCCAAGTCAAAGAAGAAAGATGCTGATAAACCAAACATTGAGGAAGAAGAGGAAGAGGTATTTCAGCTAGAGGATTTGATAAGGAAAGGAGAAGCAGAACTTCGTCAGATGGAGGCTTATGCAAAGAAAGCAGAAGAAGTGAAGGAAAAACGGGCAGAGGAGATTAAGGAGAGAAAGATGGATGAACTAAAAGAGTTCAGGGAGGAAAAGGTTGATGAGCTAAAGGAGAAGAAAACTGAAGAAATGAGGGAAAAGAAATTGGAAGAAATGAGGGAAAAGAAATTGGAAGAAATGAGGGAAAAGAAATTGGAAGAAATGAGGGAAAAGAAATTGGAAGAATCACGGGAAAAGAAATCTGAAGAAACAAGGGAAAAGAAGTCTGAAGAAACACGAGAAAAGAAGGTGGAAGAAATACGGGAAAAGAAGGTGGAAGAAATACGGGAAAAGAAATTGGAGGAGAAAGAAAAGAAGAAAAGTAAGATTGAAAAACAGAAGATTTCTAAAGAACACAAGACCTTCAAGACAGAAGAAAAACCTGATAGCCATATGACTGAGGGTAAAGAAGAAAAGAAGTCAAAGAATAAATCTGAAGACAAGTTGTCAAAACATAAGAAAACTGAAAACAAGGTAGATGTGAAACCTGAAGAACTGAAGACTGCTAAAGTAGATAAGTGTGAACTGAAGCCAGATTCTGCTGGCTCAAAAAGTAAATCGAGTCAAAGGTTGAAGACAAGCCAACGAAAAGCAAACCTGATACCAAACAAGACGACAAGCAAAAGCCCAAAAGTGAATCAGCTGAAGAAGAACCAAAAACGTCTGCTCCCAAATTCGATTCAAGGCCTGATGAAACAGATGAAGATTCTAAAGTCAAACCGCCAAAGATTGATGCAAAGGAGAAGAAGTCCAAGGCAAAAACAAAGAAACCTAACAAAGAACCTTCAGACATTGAACCTGAAATTAGTAAGCCATCACCTGTCTTATTCACGTCTATTGTGAGGGACCCTGAAAAGAATATTTTCTCTGAAATGCATAAATTATCTGAATTTGGAAACAAAGAAACCAAAGTTGAGCCACCAGTTCAGTCGGAGACTTTCTCATTTGATAAACATTCTAGTCAAGAGGAGGACTCTGATAAAGATCTTGTACCTCCTAAGGCAAAGAAACCAAAGAAGAAGAAGAAAAAGAAGGATGGGAAAGGCAAGGATAGCAAGATGGAAATAGATGACCATCCAACAGTGAATAACACTGAGAAACGAGAACCCCTCTCTTCAAGCTTTGGACAGAAATCTTCAAGACTGGATGCACCAGACATTTCAGAGTTGGCTAAAAAGACATACAACTTTGATGCCTCACAGGATTCAATTCTAGAGAAGTTTGAATGCAAGCCTTTTGGAGAATCGAAAAAGAAAGATGGACCTCTGTTTAGCAAAAACAAACTAAAGAGTCCTAACAATGATAACAAGTCAAAAGACATTCTGAAAGATTTCAACAAAGATGTTCCTAAGGACATTCATAAAGATGTAAGTGCAAAAGAAAGTGTTTCAGATTTGGTAACTGCAGCTGTCAAAGAGCCAGTGGTTGATCATGCGTCTGTGGATTCTAAATTTCATGAATTTGATATCACTTTGTCACCTGAGCCTTTACCTGATATCAATGATACTCCTATCCCAGTTGAAATCCAAGTGTCAACAGAGATCGAGAGTCCAGAAGTTGATATTGGTTTTAACAACAAGGCTGAAACGAAGAAAAGCAAAAAGGGAACCAAAAAGGAGAAAGGCCCTAAGACTGACAAGCCTAAGAAGACAAAGAAAAAAGATAAGGAGAAACATGTCTCTGAAAACCTGATTGAGAAACCGATTGAGAAACCTACTTCTGAGCCTGTAGAAAAGAAGGAGGCTGAACCAAAACCTAAAATTCCAGTTGAAATTAAACCAGATATAGTGGAACCTAAGGCTAAGGAAGTAGTCAAACACCATTCTCCAAGGGCTATTGATTCTTCTCCAGATCTGATGAAAGTATTTGACATCTTAGCTAGTCCTCCAAGGGAAAATGAAGATCCTGTATCCCCTCCTGTGGAAGTGAAGAAATCACCATTCTCATTCCAATCACCGAAGAAGGAGACCATTGTTGAACATGATGAATTTACGTTTGAGGACAGTAATGATGCACCTGAACCTTTCCCTAAGAAGAGTTTAGATCCAGATTGGACAAAGAGATTCAAGCCAACATTTGAAGAAGCCAAATCTGCTGATGATTCCCCGCGGTCTCTGGAAGAAATGGATCCAAAGAAGCTTGTTATACATTTCCCAGAAGAAAAGGATGATACAGAAACACAGGAAGACCTGACAATCCACCTCGGAATCCCAAACACTGCATCTCTGCCCAAGATTCCAAGTTCAATGGCTGAGGGGACTCCTTCAACAGATGCTCCAAGCTTTCCCTCATTGCAAAGTTCCCAAAGTATCTCATCCATTACAATGGTGTCCCCAGAACATCATGAACCCGAAGATACCTATCCCTCCTATACTGACATAACTAATGATGAAAAGGCTGCTCAAGCTGCCTCTGATGAAGCAGCCCTAGCAGTAGCATCTATCTTGTTTGAAGACCTGGATTCAGGAAGTGCATTCAAAACTGATGTCCCTGACATTTCATTACAACCTGCTGATGAACATCTAGAAGAACCAGTCTTGAATGAGAAGGACAGATTGTCTGATTTGAAAGAGGCAGAAGCAGCAATTGCTCACATTCAAGGAACTGATATGTCTCCACAACATGTTGGGAAAGTTGATCTTGAACCCACTCCATCTGAAAAAACAGGAAGCCCCCCAGCATCTTCAACAAGTGAAGGAAGAGGAACCTGTAATACAAATAGAAAAGCAGGCTGATCCTGTGCCGAAACCCCCCGAGAAAGTTCAGCCAGAAACTCCTGTCTCTGTTGCTAATAAACCTGTTCCTGAAACAAGCATATTTAGTTCTCCAGACATGGATTCTAGTCTCTTTGATGACAGGTTGGTCATTGCTGAACCCAAACCCGAACCTGCTCGCAAAACTCCCAACAAGAGAGTTCCAAGGAGAGGAAGGCGGTCGACCAGGAACAAGGGATCTCGAGATGAAGTTGAAACACCCGTTGAACCAACTCATCCGGAGGACCAATCATCTTCAGACCCACTCAGTAAATCTGGTTTGAGTTCTGACAGCGATAAATGGGACTTTGATAAATCTGAAAGCGAAGACCTTCCTCAGCATATCACCTCTGTGATAGACCAGCCAAGAAGATTAAGATCTCCAAGGGCAGATAGATCTCGTGGACGAGGAGCCTCGCGCGAGGGCGGAAACCAAGAGCATGTAACATCAACAAAGAAAATACTGCAGACATTTCTGATCCTGAGCCTGTGAAACCAGTCTGGGGCGAGGAGACCACACGAAGGTCATCAACTTCGGATGAAAGCTTTTCAGGAAAAACATACCCATTCAGTTCTCGCCTGGAGATGTGTGAGAGTGCCATGGCAAAGACAGATGACCAGGAAGAGGAAGATTCTACTAATTACAGTTTTCCAGAGCCAGAGGAGGGCAATTTAGTTATTGCTTCTGAAGAAGATGACAAACCATCTCAAGATGTCAGCCCATGTACTCCTCAAAGATCTACTCGTAAACGAAAACTCCCAAATTACAAGGCAATGGTGTCTGGAACTTCTCCACTCCCAACCAGATCTTCTACATCTCCTCGTGCACAGAGAGGTGATGCTCAATCTCCAAAGAATTCAACATCACCAAGGGGCCGAGCTTCTCCAAAAGCTGCTGAATTGGGCTCTCCTGTTGTAAAACTTGAAAAATTGGAGATGGATAGTGGAAAGAAAGAATCTGGTCGGAGGTCAGATGAGTGGAAAGCCCCCAAGTTTCCTTCCTTCCCAGAAGATAAACCACCAACCTCCAAGGAAAATATCTATAATTTTGAGACCAGTGAGCAAGATCAAGAGGAGAAGACAGAACACTACCGAACTCTCAGAAGCAGAAAGAAAAAATCAGCTGATGCAGAACCAGTTAAGGCAGAAACTGAGACTGGACCACAGCATCAAACACCACAAACCAGATCAGCCATTCCTCCTCCTCAGCCAACCTCTGTTCCTCCTTACTCAACACCAGCATCACTCTCCTCCTACTGCCCCAGGCGGGACTCATCTCACTCCAGCTGAAGCTCAAGCTCAGGCCATCAAGAACATCATGCAGAGCGTTGCTGCTGAACATGCAGCAGAGCAGTCCCTTGCTTCTCAACCTGTGTCCAATGATACCTCGTCCTTCATGAGCCATGTTGACAAGATCATTGATGACGTCTCCAAGGGCGTCTTTGGTATGACTGACGATGGAGATAAGCCAGAGCCTGTGAAGTATGAGAAGCCACCAGAGACGTCATTGCCGGTGTCCATGCCTGTGCCAACTCCCACAGTTGTAGCGTCTTCAGGTAAGATGTTCGGAGTTCAATGTACATGTACTAATTTCTTATCTCAGGTCTTATCAATACCAACATATGACTCACAAAACACTTTTATCTTGATAACGGTGTAAGAACCTACATCGATATGTCGCTCTATGCAATAAACAAGAAGTTGTCATCCATAAAGTTTTTGACTCCCCAACTTCTAGAATGCTGATCAAACAATTCACAAAACATGCATGTCTATCTTTCCTCAGAAATTATTCTGATAATGTTGCCATGGAGTTTGTGTTTAATCTAATCCAAATTTTTGCCTTTTCTCTTTCAGAAGAAAAGAGTGTCAACTCCAAAATCTATGACATCCTTACCCAGAATCTGAAACAAGAGCATGCTATTAAATCTGAACATTCCCAACTCAGTCGAGCTTCTGAACCTGGAAGTTTACTCTCAACATTTGTCAGCATGCCAAGTCCTGCTCTTGTTACAATAGCTTCGCAGATCCGCAACGACCCTGGGATGTCTCCAACTTCCACCAAGCACCACCCAGTGCCTGAAAATCCCATGCTACAAGCCCAGAGCAATATGCCTATGGCAAAGCTGCCGAACACAACCATGCCGTCGCTTGCACCGATTAAACATGAAGACAATCTCGGTAACCTTGCTCAGTTCAGTGACAATGTGCAGAGACATGGCCATCATGTGGGTAAATCAACATCAATGCCTGTAACACAGCCTATGGCTAGTGTACAAACCAGCAGTATCATGCAGAACCCTGTTGCATTGATAAGCAAAGCTTTGGCTTCTCCTGTGTCAGCTCCAGCTCAACCCAAACCAAAAAGCATCCCTCCACAAATGACAACACCCCCACCTCCACAGATGTCAAGCTCGGGGATCCAGCCACAGAGACCACAGAGTGTGCAGCTCCCTGTGACCCATGTGCCGGCCAGCAGTGCAGATACTATAAACATTCAAAGGCCGCCAAGTGCACACAGTCATGTCCAGTTCCAGGTTATGCCAGGACCGCCAAGAGACCAGCCTCCCAAGTCTCAACTTGTTGAACCTAAACTTGAACCAGGTAAACCTGGTCCTGAAGCCAAAGGAAGAGCAGCACATCCACCTCACATGAGTACACCTCCATTCATGATCCCTGGGATGCAGGCAGGTCAGAGGATGCCAGGGCCTCATGGCTACCCGTTCATGCCTCATGTAGACCCAAGACTGATGTCTCCAGTGAGTCCCAGAGAATCCCAGAATCACAGCAAAGAGGGTCCAAGAAAGCCAATGACTAATCCTCATGCTATGAACTCCAGAGATATGTCCCGTCCTCCAAGTCAAGGACAGATGCAACCTCACTTTGTTGGGGACATGGCCAGGCAGCCGACATCTGAAAACTTGAGACAAGCCCACCTTCAGCGGGATCAGAACCGTCAAGCAGGACCTGTTGAACAGATGAGACAGATTGCCGAACTGAAACGACAGTCTGTATCAGATGTGGCAGCTGACCAGTTGAGACAGAGGGCCCAAGCTGATCACATCCGTCAGCAGCTGGCAGCTGGGGAGCAAATTATGTCAGCTGAGCAGCAGAAACGTCATCTCGAGGAACAGCTGAGGCGGGAAGAACAGATGAGACGAGAGGAGCAGATCCGACATCGTCCAGAGACGATGCACCACATGCAGGAGCACCTGCAGCTGCAGGAGGCAATCCATCAGGGCCGTAGTGGAGAGAGACAGAGGGAAGGTGAAGTCTTACCCCACATGATCAGATCTTCAGATGACCCTCAGAACCTTGTGAGAAGGGAACAGATACATCGAGCAGAGCAAAGGTTTGCAGACATGCGTCATGGAGGGATGGACAGGACATCAGACATTCAGAGGATTGTGAATCAAAAGATTGAATCTGAGGTTCGTCAGGGACGTCATCCCCAGTCAGGACCACAACCCAGGATGCATGCTCCATCTCCTGACGTTGCCATCTGTGTCAAAACTCCACCTGCAACATCAGCAGCCAATGCCTTCATCGCTGGAGTTGTCGTCGGCCACCCGAGTTCCCTCTCTCCCAAGACCGCCAGCCCTGTAGGCCAGGTGAGCAAGGTTGGACAATGCTTACTTTGTTGTTATGATGCTTAATACAACTTAACTTGTGGTGTAACTGGATCTGCTCTAAACTTATAATTTTTCCTTATGATCTTAAAAATGGACATTATGAATGATTGAGACAAATATATTTTAAGGTTTCATTCAGTATTTTATGTCAACTAGTATAATTCTATGCCTTTAACCATACAAACATCCAACAGATGGGGAGAGTGCCCAATAACCCGGTAAAGGTAAACAATGTCTGAATATTTGCTGTTGTTGCAGGTGATTGAGCGTCTGCCCAACCCACACGTGCCTGTGTCAGGTCAGCCAGGACGCATGATCTATCAGGAGGCTCAGATGCAGCAGCAACAGCAACAGCAACAGCAGCAGCAGCAGCAGCAGCTCAGGCAGAACAAAGGTGAGGTGCATTACATGAATGTCATCGACCCACATAAAGATCACATCAGTATCACATCACTCAAATTACCTGTGACAGAAATCTTGGATTGTTTCCCTCAGTCAGAATAGGTAGCCATGTCCTCTTCCTGTCAAGCAAACAATATGTTATTAGTTTAAACCCCTACATGGGTACAATGTGTGAAGCCCATTACTGGTGTTCCCCGCCATGATATTGCTAGAATATTGCTAAAAGTGGCATAAATCCATACTCACTCTCTCATTATTAGCTTTAGCCTGATAATCCGGGAACTTTGCTCATTGTTGAGTAAAACAATGTTCATCCATTCAGAATGCCATGAATAGATGGACAATACTGATGCTTAACAATATCTGGTTGTGGAAGGAATGTCTGCCTGAATTAGTTGTTTTGAATGTACATACGTTTTCCTTGTATATTTTAGATGCAGATAGTCCTCGTAATGCACCAACTCCATCTTCACAACCCGAAATGAGGCCTCCGTCAAGAGAGATGATCTACTTCATGCAGCAACAGCAACAGCATCAGCAACAACAGCAGCACCGCATAATGCTTCAGGAAGCTGCTGCACGTGATAGGAAGATGCCTGAACATCCTCATCCTTCCCAGTCTCCCACAGTCCTGAATCTTGCCGACCCTGAACTCCGACAGGAGGGTCGCAGCAGCAAGGGACCACAGCCATCCTACCCCTTGCCGTATGATCATAAGATCATGATGTCTCAAGCTGACGGACGGATCCCATCCTCGACGCCCAGTGCGTTTGTTCCACCAGGAGGGATGGTAGGACAGAGACCAGAAATGCCTCCAGGTGTCCCTCCCCATCTCTACAGACCAGACCTCTTCCCACAGGGAATCCGACTGCCCATCGACCCAAGGATGTATCCAGGCATCGACCAGCCAGGCTTCATCCCTGGTCGTGATGTGTCCCTTGTTGTACCACCAGGACATTTCCCACCTCAGATTTTAGACAAGATGAGGATGGAACAGCAACAGCAACAGCAGCAGCAGCAGCAGCAGCAGTGGAGGCTCATCGGTCTGTGTCTCGGCAGGAGCAAGGTGGGCCCCAGGTGATGATGCCTGGGAACCCGACCCAGCCACAGAGTGCCCGTCTGCCCGGTCCAGGAGTGCCAGAGATGATCCAGCAATCTCTGATGCAGACACGCAGTCCCTTGTACGATATGCCCAGAGACAAACATATGAGGAAACTGGAGGCAAGTTTGATAGGGGAAAATAACCTGTCTGGAACAAGGGTTTTAAAAAAACAAGTTGTGTTTATGAAATGTTGAATGAGTGAAGAAGGCAGGAGTAGTCCCTACCATGAAGTATTTTCATCAGTTAAAAAATAGTTGTGTTACCAAGTTTTTTTTATGGAGATATTACTTAGGCCAATGACAGTGGATGTAGTTGTAAGTTAGACTAATTAGATAAGGGATTAAGGTTATTTTGTGTAGATAAACCCAGTTACAATATCACATGTACAATCTTTTCTTCCAGCAATATCCGGTTGTGTGGCAAGGTGCTGTGGCGCTGAAGAATGACAACAGCCTGGTACAGATGCACTATGTTGCTGGCAACAGCACCCTGCCCAAGGTGACCCTGCCTCCCCAGATCCCAGGGGGTGCCCTTCAGCCGCTGAGGATAGCCCAGAGAATGAGGATGGAACACTCACAGCTGGATGGAGTCTCCAAGAGGATGCAGGTGAGCATCACACACACTCCAATTTTGAGAAATTTATGCCCATGGAAAATATATTCTTCAAGGATACCACAGGATCTTGTTCCACAAAATCGACAGTTGGGAGTAACATTCACATAAGTGTTACAATAGCTTTATGAAATAGATTCTCACGCCGAGGACCCAGGTTTGATTCCCCACGTGGGTTCAATGTGTGAAGCTCATTTCTGGTGTCCCCAGCCATGATATTGCAGGAATATTGCTATAAAGTGACGTAAAACCCAACTCTCAGTGGGCCAGTGACATGCAATTTTTGTCTGTATGTCTCCATGATCTAGGTAACTGTACCATGGTCCATCATTGCACTTTTCAATCACTATTTATCTGGGATTTTTTCAGTCAGTATTCAAATTGACATTACAGAAATTAAGATACACACTTTCTGATTGCGATGATAAGGTTAAAGAAATGTTCAGTTTCACAAATGAGGTTTCAATTGACTTTCCTTTCTGAAACTGTTTAGTTTCCTTGTGTTCTAGTTCTGTTCCGTGCAACACTAAGTGACTATGTCCTGTTCCTGTAAGCCTAACGCTGTATCCTGTTTCAGCTTCAGAAGGATTTCTGCATACTCATGGCTATCCCCTTCGGCCGCGACCCTCACGACCTGGAGGAGCAGACCAAGGCCTTGTCTAAAGGTGTCATTGAGTACCTGCTTCTGAAACAGGCGGCTGGCATCGTCAACATCCCCATGCCAGGGTCAACTCAGGTATGTACACACTTGCCACACTTGCTGGTTGACAGACCAGTTCTTTGACATCTATGGGAAGCACCCTGGTTACGACAGATGCCAAGACGACTGTTAACTGTCTGTTTTTCTATTGGGTGGTTATGCTTGGTGACTTGGTTCAGCAAGGCATTGTTCACTGTAAGAACCAGTGGTTTGTGCAGTCAAATATATTACAGGCTGTCATTATACAGACGTGAGAATTTTCCATGGATTTTCGGGGTTTTGGTTTCATTTTGAACGATTTTTAGATCAATGTAAATCTGCAATAAAAGACACTCAAGACCCCAGCTAAATTTTCAGTGTTTTTTGTGCTTGGCCGTTCTCATATCTCAATTATATAGCAGGAATTTATTCCCCACTTAGATACAATCTCTGAAACCATTACTTTTCTGATGTCAAGAAGATTTAAAAGTTTCATAGTGCTGTTTTTCATGTATGGATGTATTGTTTTTGCTTGTAATGTAACTTGATCTGCCTGTATTTCCAGCCTGCCTATGTGGTGCACATCTTCCCACCCTGTGAGTTCTCGCACGACTCTGTAGCCCGGAACACAACAGGTCTGGTGGAACACATTCAGGATCTGGCTCACGCTCTCATCATCATTACTACAGTGGGCTGAGGAGAACGTCGTGCAGAAAGGCCTTGTGTGCCCCATGGATGAGGAAGAGGATGCTTGAATATGCTTGCTGTATGCTTGGGAGTACATAGACACCATACTGGATTAGCTTACTAGGAATATGCTTGCAGTAAAGAGGAAATACACCAGGAGAATACGCTCAAATTTGTGGAGGAAGAATGGAGTATTACATTTATTTATTGGAGCAAGCTATTACCTGGAGTACCATTTGGAGATGAGGGCAAGGATACCCAAGGATACCCAGGTGTACCATGAGCAGATACTTGAGGTATTCTAATACCCAGTGGATACCCAGGGTGCTGCTTAACCTATGGATATACTTGGATGATACCTGATACATAGTCTGATCTTCAGGCTCTCTCTGGCAGCACAGCCATGAGGTATGGAGCAAGCTTGAAGAGACCTGATTACGGAATACCCCCGGAATAGAGTACAACCCGATTGCGACAAACACTGGAATATACGTTTTACCTGGATATGTAATCTGTGAACCATTTCCTATATGGTTTATCACCTTTACGAATTTTCAAGACAATAGACTTGTTGAACGTCACACTGATTTTTTCCTGAGGCTTATTTATGAAGTGACAGTTGCCATGTGCATTGGATTAAAAACTGAACAAGATGTTCTTTGCAAGCCAAAATCTGAAGATTTTGTGACTTTTCTCTACTAATGGGAACAGTATGCCAGGGGCGTAGTGTATGTAGTGGTTTTGCTTGTCTGTGTGCTGGCAGGAACACCTGCGTGGCTGGTGGCAAGCTTATGTGCTTATTCATAACACGGATATGACTATCATGATTATTATTATTATTATTCTAATTTGTCTGGAATTGCATGGACCTACTAAAAAAGACTGGGTCTGTTCAGTTCCGGATGTGAAAAGGCAGCTATTTTGAGTTTGAATTGTTTTGCTCGTTTGTGTTTAGTGTATGTACTGACTGTACAGTCACTGTACAGATTCTACTGTATGGATTACTGTACGGATTGTACAGGGGACCACCATTGACGGTGGGTGATCATAAAGCTTTAACGATGCATGCAACGACCACCAAACAGACGGCAGTGTGCTGGAAGGTGCAGATCGGTCTGTCTGTCCGTCACGTCTGTCGAGCTGTTAGTGGTACTGTGTGCTTCTAAGGATGTACATTGCGATCTCAGGACCTCATTTCAGTGTCGCCGGCACCTTGCCGACCTCAGGATATCTTCTCATGGAATTTGCTAGTGTGCAGTGGACAGAGCACTCCGTAAATATGGAGCCATCAACTGGGTTAATTTTACCAAATTTCATTTTTAAGCTGACCATTTTAGCTGTCTCAGATTGTGTTCGTTAGACTTGCTTCTGTTCTTGCATGGCTGGCTTGATGGTACATTTTATGTTGTGCTATCGGTATAGTATTCTGGCAGTTGTTTTTATAGAGCTTGCGTACGCACATAAAGATCAAAACACGTAAGCCAAAGACAGAATATTGGACTGTAAGATATTCTGTGGTGGGCACGATGTCGGGAAAAATGGCACTAACTATGAATGCTCAAGAGGGCATAGCGCCCCGTGTAAATATGTACAGGAAATTGTAGTGTACAGTTGTAAATCACTTCATTCATAGTTTCATTTTGATCATCACAGTGTGTGCTCTGGCAAGCCATTTGTACAATTAACTGCATACAAGATAGAAATGTGATTACAATGCTAATTGGAAATTAAAACGAGCACCTTTTTGACCTGAGATGCAATGTATTTATTTTAGTGCAAAATATATCTGATAAATTCGGTTTTGTGTGTGCAACCCTGAGAATGAAATCGGCAATTTTCACAAATCGGGAACTGATTTGCTGTCGTTCTTTTCCACATTTTCATGTATTTAACACCCTCATATCATGTTGATCATTATGTTTATAAGTCACGTCACCCCATGTCATAATGTCATTGGCTCATGGAAATGTTGTCATTTCATGTCGTCAGCGCGTAGATGTACGTGTAATGGGAGGCTACTCTCACCAGATCAGGGATACCATTCTGTCATGTAATGCGTCCTTCTGCATCTGTTGGTGCATTCTTGTGTCCGTCTTTGTTATGTTACGGTTCCTAGAACCTGTGTCGTGTACTTAAAGCTAAGCTTGCTACAGAATAACTCGGAGAGTCTCTCCTGAAAACGATTTTGAACAGTAGGCAAACACCTTATTTAAATATATTTTGTTAAATTTAATAGAATGCTGCATAGTATGCAGAAACAATTTCTGTTCTGAAGCTTGCAAAAGATTTTGAAAATTTAGAAAATATTTATGTCTTTGTGCTATTTAATAACCTGTATATGGTGAAGAAAGTTACATACCATTCCACCCAGTAGAGTGCAATATTTCATCGTTGGGCTAAGATACATTGATTTGAAATTGTATGGGTGACCTTGTGACTAGAAACAGACCGAAATATATTGATACTAGTTTCCCCCAGTTGATTAGCTGGACTCTTGAAGAAAATGGCATATGATCGTCTAGCCATAGTTTGTAGTGCTATTGTTGAAGTACAAAGAAAGTGATATCTGTCAGGTGTGAGAGTTTCATGAGAAATTGATCATGGCATGAAGAGCGAAGAGTTTAAAACTTGTCTTGTGAAAATAGGCTGCTGGCTAGCACTTCACAGTTGATTGTTGACAGAATTGGGTTTATGGTTGCCAAAATCCCGCGATCCACTGCCATGAAGCTTGTCAAGTCCTTTTTTGAATATTCTGGTGCTTGGAACTGAATCTGTAAATATCAGTACATAGATGCAGTGAGCAAAGTGTTTATCATCAGGATTATTTAAAAGATAGGTCCATTAACTGGGGCTGGTTGAATACTGAATATATTAATCAATATTTGTTTATTTATGTTCTCAACAGCCAAAAACAGAATGAATTTATATTTGAAGGCATTGTATGAATAATTTACGATTAACGAAAAATGAAATAATTCTATTGCGTGGTGTAATTTGATTTGCAGGACAAGTAATAATTGAACTATAAATTATTTTTGCACTGCTTCGAGTTCTGTTGGTATTAATGAAATTTTGAAAAGGACTTGACTGGCACTGCTTTGTATTTCTTGACTACGGATAGAATTCCAC